TTAATTATAAAGTTTCTATATCTAAAACTTTTATTAATAAAGTTCTTAAAAAACTAACTTCTTATTTAAATATATCTTTTAGTTTAAAACCCGGAATTAGAAAAAAACTAGTTAATAATAATAAATATAATTAAAGTTCGAGTTTTAGTATTAGTAATAATAAGGTAATAGCTTTTCTAGTCTTATTTCTATTACTTATATTCTTTTTCTTATTTCTTTAGCTTAATACCTATAATATTTTCCTTTAATTTTACTAAATAAATATATCTAATAATACTATTAAAAATAATAATAAAAATAATAAATATAATTTTACTAATTTTTCTGACTTTTCTAAATTTTCTTTTATTTCTTTATTTAATATCTATTTCTTTTTCTAGAAACTTCTCTAGCTTATTTATATAATTTCTTATTTCTAATTTCTTTTCGATTTTTATTTCTGATTCCTATTTATTATTATATTTAAAATTAAAGATATTTTCTTTTTTAAGTATTTTTTCCGGATTTAGAAATAAGCTTTTCTATTAAAACTAATATTATTTCTATTCTGGTCTTTATTATAACTAAAAATAATATATAAATTAATAATATAACTTTATTTCCGAATACTAAAGTCTATTTCTAACTAAAGTCTAACTTATACTATTTTAGTATAATATTTCCTATTTTATTTCCTTTATTTCTTTTCTTTTTATAATTAGCCTCTATTTTTACTATTCCTATATATTATACTAGTAATTATATTTTATAGCTAACTCGTATTTAAGTTACTAGATATATTAGAAATTAATATAAGATATTAAGATTAATACTTATATATCTTTAATATTTTGGCTTTAGGCTTAAAATATTATAATAGCCCTTTTTCTTTCCTAACTTACTAAGCTAATAATTCGCCTTATAAATATCTCTTAGAACTTTATAAAAGTATTACCTTAATTATAAAGTTTTTATTCTTCTTATATTACTTATTATAAAATATATAAGAAAGAAACTATAATAAGATATGAACTCATATAAAGTATATTAGAATATAAAATATAACTTAATAGTAAAATAATAAATCAAAAGTATAAATAATAAAGTATAAATAGTATATAGTATATAAAAGCTTAATTAATTAAATACTTATAAGAGATTATTTTCTAGGACTATAAAAAAACTAGCTTTCTTATATGATTTCCGCAAGTTATATATAAAAGGCTATAGCCTTTACTATATAACCTAAATCTTAAAACCGCTAAAATAATATGATTTGTAAAGAGTACGGCCTGCCATACTTTATTATATATTATATTAGTGCGAGCTTGCGAGTATAATGTGGCTATACTTAAGGAGAAGGTTTTATAAGTAAGAGAGAGAGCTTATAAGAGCTTATAAAAGGGAAAAGAGAGCTTTATAGGTATAATTAAAGGCTCTGGCAGTTTGTAAAGAGAAGTAAAGAGCTTTACGGGTAAGCGTGAGGCTTAGAATGGCCTATAAAGAGAGGTAAATAGCTTTGCAAGTAAAAGTGAGCTTTGGGAGGGCTTATAAAGAGAAGAGGGAGCTTTATAAGTATAATTAAGGAGTATGGCAGTTTATAAAGAGTGAGAGAGCTTTATAAGTAGAAGGGTTAGAAAGCTTATAAGAGATAAGAGAGCTTTATTATAAGGAAGTTATATAATCCAATTAATCTAGTATTAATAAAAATTGCCTCATTCGTAGATCTCACCAAAGCTCTCGGCGGCGAATAAATGGATACTAACGAGACTGCACGACCCCTGAGGCGCTGGCCTTGTCTCCATCATGGAAAAATACCTAGGATTTAGGAGGTTCGAAGGTCTGACGGCTATAACCTGCACCCGATAAGTCCTGCCCTGCATCTCCTTCCATAGGAGTACGCTCTCAAAAGTACTCACTTTGCGCGTAATTTCAAACCACACTACCGGGAATAAAACACAAGTTCATTAGAAAATGTAAAACCAACATCACGGCGCTGAAACCAACAATTCCTGGTCTTGTCCTGCCTGCGCAGAAAGCACTCAAATTTCCTCTGATCCCGTGCAGAGTGCGTTCCCCAGCAAAACCGACTGGGATTTAAACTGTGCTACTTCACGGAATTTAGAACTGTCGAGCCGGTTTTGTCAACCAAGTGCCGTTAATTGATGAATCTAGCATAGCAGCATTTCATCGGAGTTATGAAGTCGTGATCGGGGCTGATGAGTGCTAAATTTAGAAACCCTCCCTACTGAACCCTGGTTGTGCTCAGTGGATCGCAGTCCAAGGCTCGAAGCGGCAATGAATCTGTAAAGCAACGCTAACAACTGCATCGCAGCACTGCAACTTCGCAGAACGCGCTAACGGACCCCGGTTCTCAGATCCATCCAAGCTTTCAGAAGGATTTGCGCATCCTGAAGGAATTGAAGGAGGGAAGTTCGAGCGGTTAGTGGTAGGGATGGCAAAAATTTAATTAATTAAATTATAATTAATAGTCAAATTATTATTATTTATTAATGGCCAAGCCATTATTAAATATATAATTTTATGCGTAATTTATGATTTTTAATAAAAATATTAATTACGTGGCATAATATTAAGAACGAAGTTATATTTTTATTCCTCTCTACCTATAGTAATATCTAATACTAGTATCTTGTTAATAAAGGCACTAAGATCTTCCCAGTTCTCCTCCTCGTTATTATTATTAATAGCTTTAGTAATTACTAAATTATTCTCTTGATTTAATAATAAATCTGCTATTAGTTCTTTTAATAGCTCCGCTTCTCTATTCGTTTCCTTTATTACTATATATATTAATCTATAATTAATATATATAAAATAGAGCTTATTTATAGTCTTAATTAATATTCGATTTTGCATCTTCGATTATAGGAAGTTTATAGTAGAAAAAGTACATTCGGAAGCTATAGAATTAGTAGTTATATATAGGAGATTAAGGGCTAGTTTAGATAGTTCTAGAGATTTAATTACCTATTATAATTAGTTAATAATTAATACTATAAGGCTATTAATTACTTATTAATATTTCCCAAAAAGATACTACTTAACTATTAAAATATATCTAATAAGGATTTAAAGCATAAAAATTCCCCTATTTCTTCTTATATTAGAAGAACTCGTAAAAGCCCTTAATTCCAAACCTTTTAATTATAAAGCTATTTACTTATATAGAAAATATATCTATAAGAATAATACTATAATTCTTTAGAAGAAGTATATATATTATTAAGTAAATAGATTAAAGCTATATTTCTATTCGCATATTCTATTTACCTTTATTTACTTATATATAGTAATTCTTGACTTCCTCTTATTATAGCCCGCTCTCTTATATCTTATATATATGAAAATAGATATTAATTACTATCTATTAAGGATATATCTTTCCGAGTATTAAGTAGTTTAATTCGGATATCTTTTAGTAGGTATAAATAGGTTCAAGAAGCTATTTCAGGGCCTTATTCTTTTACTAATTATTATTATTATAGCAGAGGATACTTTTAATTATAATAGGTTCTCGAGGATTATTATCTGGGAGTTCGGTATATACTTTTAAAGCTTCGGATAATCTATTAATAAAGGCGATTTAATATACTTATATATCCCAGCGAGTTAGAATAATAGTAATTAAGGTAATAATTCCTCTGTATTTCTTTATAGCTTCTTATAAATATACTAATTACTTATCCGATTTCGAAAATACAGAGATAATTTTATTAGAGAAGTCCTTGAAAAAGATACCTATTATAGTAATGATTTGGTTCTAGAATAGATCTTTACCTGGAAAGAGAAGGTCTTTAAAAATCAGTTAAATTCTATAAGAATTGCATAGTACTAAAAGAATATAAGAAGCGTCCGGATCTTTAATAAGATCTGCCTATACTCTTCTTTATATATTACAAGTATTAGAGGAGAAAGCAGTCTAATAATTCAAGGTACCTTATATAATCTCCTTTATACTTTTGATTACATTCTTGACTATCCAGTCTGCTTCTATCTTAGTTGCCCTAATTCCAATCGAATTCTAATAATATAATATACTATCTACCAGAAATGATATATTTTCAATATATACTTTACTAATATTTAATAAGTCATTAGTAATAATTTAAATATGGGATACCGCATTTGCTATCCGTTATACCTTTGCTTTGATTTTATTATAGTAGGAATCAAGAAGTATACCGGCAAGTGTCTTATAATTCGGGGCTTTAAAGCCTAATTTCGTATAGAAGGCTCTCTATTCAGAAGTATTAAATTGGGAGAAACTGCAGGTAGAAGCATAGATAGCGAGTGCAAATAATTCCTCTGCTATAGAGTCTTTAATCGCAAAGAAATTGGATACAGGTGACTGTTTCTTCTTCTGTACTATCAAATCAATCTTATAATCCTTTTGATATTACTCCCAACCTTTACATATCTTCAAGTAAGGGGCTTGATTAATGGTAGTATTCTATGATTTTGGTAGAGCAGAATAGTGCTTGTACTGGGCCTTCTTGCCAACGAATCCACAATTGGGTATAGGATAAATAAAGGTAAACTAGGCGGCAAGAAGCTTATTGCCGTAAAGGCCATAAGTATTAGTTAAAGGAGGCATAGTAATATTAATGGTAATGATTTTGGTAGTGTTTTTACTAATATAAAGGAAGGATGGTTCTAAAATTAGTAAGAAGTGGATGTTACGTATACTAGATTCTAGTCCTCTGATTGGACGGATTCAAAATCTACTATAGACCCACTTAATTTAATGCTTAATGGTCAAAAGAGCATTAAATTTAATTATTTCTTAATGGGGTAGCAATTAAATTTAATTGTCCATCCCTAGTTAGTGGGCCGGGAGCCTGGAACAGCAGCTGGGTCGAGCTGGCTCTGGTTCGCCTCCCGCTTGCTTGCCCCTGAGCTACCCCTGAAATATGAGATTCGATAGGCTCCCGAGCCTCACAGAGACTTGCCGGCTGAGGCAGAGCTCCGCGCCGCTTTGCTGTGCCTCTTACCATCTCCGCCAACACAATGGGAAAGGTCCAAATAGGCAGCGGCCCCTTCACGCGTCATGTCTCCAGTCAACGACAGTCGTTGAAGGTGACATCTACTGTTATAGTGCTCGACCAACTTACACCCCCAAACCGCTTTGATCATCAATCTAAACGTCGTCGACAGCAAAATGGTCAAGCAAGCCAACACCAACGAAGCGCGAGCATGGGGAGCTCTCCCCTCACGCACCGAGATGGGCTCGCGCCGCATCTCTTCTGTCGCCCTGATGGCCGGCCTCCTCACCGTTGCCTACCCTTTCGCTCCCTTCGGCTGGCTCCTCCCCAGCGATGGCCCTGATGTCCTCGACCGATTCCTCGCATGGCCGCTGCTTCTCGGCGCACTGTTCTTCCAGTGGCGGATCGCGGGCGTGATCGGCACACTCACCATTCAGATCGCGGACTTTGTGGCGGTATATCAACATGCCATGTACTGGAAAGTTGCGGGCTTGGAGGCAGTATTGATTGTTGCCGTCAACCTGGGACAACACGAGGTTTGGAGACGATTCGTCGCAAGCGGACTTATCGCAGGGCTGTGGGGTATTGGGTGGGCTTGTACGCCGTTGAGATATAAGTTGGAGGCTTGGGAACACTTGAAGTGGATTTGGACTGTCCTGGCGATTGACGAGGTTCGAAGGGGGTTGGGAGGCAGAGCAGGCAGAGGACGCAGATGGTGAGCGCGGTTGGATTTTGGATACAAAGTACCAGGTTTCGGAACGCAAAATTAAGACACATGGAGCGGCATGGGCATGTTATTGGGATTGTATGGGGAAGGAAAGCCGATCCTAGGTAATCGTGGGGAAAATTGGACTAGAGGCTACAAGTGAGCGACTCTTTACTCGAAACAGATTAACATTTTTCCAAACTCGTGGCACATCGTTCTTTGCTTGCAGCTTAAATTGCGCCATCCTCACAGAATCCCATCATGATCTGATGATATTGCCAGACGGAAGTTGTTTCTTACTATTTTGGGTTATGCATTACCCTCCCATTTGGCGATAATTCTGACCCCTCTCCATCGTCTCTTCCACATTGCCAAACGGCGTCAGATTTCCTTGCAAGTCAGTCGACCCATATGGGAACCATGGCAAGCCAACAAAGTTTCGATGCCAAGGACAATCAAGAAGTGTCTGCAATTGCATTCCCCATGTCACGCCAAAACAACATCCCGTGGCGTGGTCCATGAGGTCTCGAATCTACGTTTCAAAATAGCCTCTTCGACTTCCCTCTACCGAGCGCTGCCATTACTCTATTTCACCTCTGGCCAGTCCCCAGATTGGACTACTCCAGCGGTAACTACTATTCCTGGCGGCTCAGTTAGGCAATGCTACACGAGCCCGTTTAACCCCTCGAGCTCAGCTTTTGTTTGTGGCCCTCAGAGCATTCTCATTCTCTACTATGTCATTATTGATGCCCAAAAAACTTCTGTAAGTTCTCAACAGTTGCTTTAGAAGGTTCCACTGTTTTCTTCGTTTGTGTCAGTTTCTCCTACAGCTTCACTAGCTTGTTCTCGAGATCCGTTTGCTTAATCTTCCCCGTATCCCACAATATGACCCTCTTCTCGAACCCTTCAAACAGCGCCTTGTTCTCGGACCTGAGATTTGAGATCGTCTCTGCCGTTCTCGATCGAAGCGAGCCGATCTCCTCCGCCTTGGCTGATCGAAGGGCAGAGAGCTCTTCCACTTTCGCATTGAATTCTTGTTTCTTCAACAACAGCCTTTGTTCCAGCTCTTTCTTGTCGTCGAAGAGCCGGTCGTAATCGCTGACGTCTTTATCTTGGAAGATCTTTTCCCCAGGAGCTATAAACTCTTTCAATTGAGACAAATGTTTTGGTTTAGCAGGAGGTTTGAGAGATCCAGTTCTATAGTTGATAGCACTCATATTTTGGCTAAGGGCCTATTTTATATAAACTTATATAAGTTGAATACCGGATATTGGTGATATTAAACTCTAGCGTTCAATGCTCGATATTAAATACTAGTATTGGTATAATTCAGACCTTTTTCTCAAAGATACAAATACTGAATAATTATTATAATTATAAAGGTTTCAGCTTTATTTCTGCTAGCGTTTTGAGCCTCTATTTTCAACCTCACAAATCTCCCACTTTTACTTCCCTAATAATTAGCAAATACTTTCTATAATTATATCTTATATTATTTACTACTAAATAAATTAATCCGAGGTTTATTTTACGAGAATTGCAAAATGTAAAGCTTTAGAAAGAATTTATGCCCTAGAGAGGCCTATAAAGGTAGCAAAAGCCAGTATTCAAATGCTTAGTATTTTCAGAACGACCTCAATAGTGAGATTAATGGGGGCAGATACTAGTATCTAAATGCTAGCGCTAGTATCCAAAAAAAATGCGAAACACTTATTTTTGTAATATCTGAATACTAGTATTACGATATCGGCAGTACAGTATCCGAATACTCAAGGGTTGCAAAACAGGCCCTAAGTAGAGTATGAGTAGGACCCACTACTCTACTCTACTCATTTGATACACTGGCCAAGATACTAAACTATTTCGACGGCACTCTTAATTCTACTGTAAATAGTATTTAAGTTTAGTGTCACACCACAAGACTCATATATACGTCGTGGGAAACTCGTACGCATAGGAAATGGGGAAGAATCAAAGGTGGCGCGGGGCTCATAGATAGTCTCGGTCTCATTTGACATTTAATGCAAGCGCAGTCGCAATCCTTGTTACATGATAGCTCGGAGTTCAGCAAAGAAAAGTAAGGGTATATCGACCATCCCTCATCATTCGCCGAGTATTATTATACATACACAGACAGACATTTCCCATTATCCACTATATATTACCGGCTCCGCCAGCTCACCTCATTATCAAGCATTAGCTCAATAAATCAATCATCCATCGGCTTATCCGTCAAACTAACACCATATCTCCCTCCACCAGACCCATCCTCATAGCCACCCAAACTCCCTCCACTATCCCTGTTCATCTGATCAGCTCCACTAATGCGATTGTATCCTCCTGGAGCCGGCCGTCGACCCGAGAATCTAGCCTGAGTTCTGCCGAGACTGTTCCTCTTCTCAACGCCGGTATCGTCCATTCCGTCGCCCATGCCAGGGACGTACGTTGCGCTCGTTATCGGTGCTTGTGGCTCGGCACTGCCGTTGGTGATAGATTGAAGAGGTTGGCCGTTCGCTGGTTCAGGAGCAGCGAAAGGCGCCGCGTCACTTGGTACCTCCAAGCTCTGTCTCGTGCCAGCGGTGGAAAGTCGAGGTTGTTTGATGTGGTCGGCCGTCGCAGTTGGGGAAACTTGGACTGGGAATCTGGTTTCCGGGCCTCCTGAGCTGCGATCTCTGCGGTGGCCACGGGGGGAGGGTCCTGGGCTGGTGGCTCGACTGCGAGAGCCGCTTGCAATAATGGCACGGGCACGGGCTTCCATGTTGGCTTTGCGGTTTGACTCATCGGTACTTATGGCTCGGGGACGGGTGTCGACACTGACGCTATGGGAGAGGGAAGAGGCACGCTTAAGTTCGGTGAAGATAGCTTCCTTATGGTTGAAGAGGTCGCGTATCAGGCGGTACGAATATCGCTCCTCCATTGTCATGGACGTGTCAACCTTTGGTCGTAGAATGCAGGGCGCTAGACTTGTTGCCAGAGCTGCAATGTAGGTTTCATCGGCCGAAGTGAGTTCAATTAGTCTTGTGAAATGGGTCATAAGGGCATCGAGTGTCGCAATATTGGAAAGATGCAGCTGGCTGAGAGTGTTTTGCAACACAGAAATACGTGCCGAATCGGTGGACTCGGATGCTGGCGTCGAGTATATTGTTTTCATAATCTCGTAAACGTGAGATGAGACAAGTGAGTCTGCGCCATGTTAGCATAAGTCGTCAACAGTGTCTCGTGGAGTGTACCAGGAAGTTCTAGCAAATACAGTCTAAGAACGCTTGCAATGATGGGTACCTCGTAAGGCTCCAGGGATTCGACGCTGAAGGTTTTCCCAGTATTGAGGATGTCCCGAAGTCTGTGGGTCTGGTGCAAGGGAACATCGACAAGCCATACACTTCTCCTGGCTTCATCACCTTCCAGGTCCGGGTAGCGATTGTCGAGGAAGGTGAGAATCGTGGTGATGAGTGCAGGAACTCGTTTCCGATCAGCCCGGGCTCGAGCCTCCAAATCAACACCGAAAGTCTGCTCATCGGCCGAGTTGTAGTAGTTCTCATAAATCACAACCTTGGGGGCGAATCCTCCAGTGCGATAGCTCTCCAAGAAATATCGGAGATCACCAAGTGGCTGGACGGTTTCTTGATAGAGCATCATCTTGTCAACGGTGGACTGCAAACTAGGGATGACATTGCTAATTGTCCCCGAGAAATCCAGAATAATGGTCTTGATAGCCTTCAATCTGTCAAGCTCACAGCGCTCTAAGTATCTTAAGTGTTCAATGATAGCCTCCTCGAGTTGGCACCGCAGCTGATCGAGCTTCCGGACACCAGCCTTGTATCGCTCATCTGCTTCAGCAGCCTCCCTCCGAAGGCGGTCGCCGGGAGTCTCGTTGGGGTTTTGGGTGTTAATAGGATTCCATCCGGCCAAGAATTCAGAGACGGTTCCAGCTACAGGCGACTCAACTGAGCCCGCATCGGATGCCATCGAAAAGGTACGGCCAAGCGGTTGCTTCTTCTCAGGAACTCCGCTCCATTGGAAGGCCTTTGGTTTCCACTGGTAGAACATCTTGGAACTGTTCGCAAAGATGCTTCCTACATTTCCGATCAACCGCAGAAATCCGGCTGTGATGAGGTCTTGTCCAATCCGCTCGGCATGACTGACGCTCGTAGCCCCCATGTACTTCTGAAAATACTCCACAATATCCGCGCCACTTGAGGTATTCTGATATGTGCCGAGGATAGGAACCTTCGTCTCGCCCAGTCGAATGGTTGTGAGGATATGGGCGAGGATCTTCTTGACTTGCTCAGGTTGGTAGACTTCGTCGCCAATTTCCACCGGCTCGTCCTCCTCCGCCTCCCTGTCTGTCACCTTAATCTCTGGGATTTTGGCCTTGGGGCTGTTTTCCGCAGGCTGGAAAGCCATCTTATTTTCTTCCTCAATGTCCTCAACTAGCCGACACTTGGTGAAGTAGTGGCTCCGTAATTTCTTGACTGTCTCGGCCTGCTTGTCGTGCAGCTTTATCCGTGCTTGGAGATCATCTTGGGAATTTTGAACTCGCATCTCGTGTGCATCGCACCACCTTGTGAAGGGATTTATGACAAGGTCCCGGATGCTTTGAGAGATCTTGCGATGGTTCTTGGCTGCCTCCTCCATCTCGGTTCGAACTCCATCGTATGCCTAAGAATCAGTTAGCAGCCGCACTTCACCGTAGAACCGTATCGCCCACCTTTCGGACACTTGCTCCGTCGTCTCGAGAGAAGCCACCGATTATCTTGTCTGTCGCGGGCCCTATTTCTGCAAGTTTCATGCCATATAGGTCTTCAGCCTCAGCTCGCAACCGCGCAACCTGGAGCATTTGCTGATTCTCTTGTACGCCTTGCTGGAGCTTGCCAAAGAGCACGCCGAGCCCTGGATTGGGATGTCAGCACATTCCGCCACTCCTCTAGCTTGATCTCTTACCTCCGGCATAATCTCCTGACCAGAAGGAATCCGCGAAGGAAGGCATCTCGAGGAGGGAATTGTCGAGCGCGGGTGGGATGATAGGTATCGTATCAGAGTGGTAGACGATGTAGACGGGTTCGGAGCCTCTGCGATGTCGTTGCATCTAACGAGTGACTGGAATCCTGCGTGGGATGGTGATTCAGGAGGAGCTTCCTCGGGTCTTTCAGCTCTGTTCCCTGTCTAGTCAGAGCGGCACGGAATTCGGTAGAAGGATGAGATATTGGGATGATGCGTTCGCGATGATTGCGATGCGTGTTAGGGCGGCTGGCTGCACTGGCCGAAAAGGGGCGACGATGAAGGCATTCGCGATGTAATTTCGTCTCTCTCCTTGATGCCAGCAGAGACGACCTGATTTGAGTGACGCGCGATTGCCCCAATGCGGCTTAGCGGTCCTGCTCCATATCACCTGACCTGCCCTCCAACTTCAGCATTCCAACATCGGATGAACGTCGAACCCGCATCATATTTGAACATTCCTCATCATGTCCTACTATTCAGAGGTGGACCCTCTGTTGCCCAACGATAAACAGGCCCCTGAGATTCAAGGCTCCCGACCTCAAAGCTTCAAAAATGTGAATGCCTCAGAAGCCGAACTTGGCGAGGCCAGGGGACCCGGCGATGACGAGCACGCGAGAACTGCGTTCAATGATATTCTGGTTCTATTCCTCGGATTATGTTTCTTCCTTACACTTGCGTTTGTATTCGTTCCGGACGATGTTCTTGATGGATGGCAGCCGGGTCCCCAGACAGTCGAGCAGAGAGTAAACAAGATCCTGACCGACACCCCACTCATCGGTATGTCCATAACCCCAAGAAAAGATACGTACCACTAATATTATATAGACGGCCATAATGACCTTGCAATTTTGATCACTTTTTTGACTCAGAATCAGATATATGATGACAAATTCAAAAAGCCCTTCGAGGATGGGGGGCTGGCTCAGCATGTAGACCTGCCCCGATTGAAGAAGGGTATGGTTGGAGGCGCATTCTGGAGTGCATTTACGCCATGTCCGGACGAACGTTATCCTGATCGTATGCGTTCATTCCTATATCAAGACCTCATCTTTCATTGTACTGACGAGCTATAGCCGTCAAGTTCACACTCACTCAAATCGACCTCCTCACACGCCTCCAACAAGCCTACCCAACCCATTTCTCCGAACCACCAAACAGCACTACAGCACTCACATACTTCAATCAGGGCCAAATGGTCTCCCCCATCGCCATCGAGGGCCTCCACCAAATCGGGGACTCCATCTCGAACCTGCGACTCCTCTACAAACTTGGTGTCCGCTATGCAACGCTCACCCACAATTGCCACAATCCATACGCTGACGCTGCCATCGTTGAACTTCCCGACGGCACTTCTGGTGTTGGTAAGCCCCGCTGGGGCGGCGTCTCACCCGCGGGACGAGAAGCAGTCAAGGAGATGAACCGCCTAGGCATGATCGTCGACCTGGCGCACGTTAGCCCAGCCACGATGCGCGATGTTCTCGGCGCCTCTGGCAATTGGGAAGGCAGCGCTGCTCCGATTATTTACAGTCATTCATCTGCGCATGCAATTTGCCCTCACCCTAGGAACGTTCAGGACGACATCCTCAAGTTAGTGAAGAAGAAGAATGGTGTAGTGATGGTGAACTTCGCTCCAGATTTTGTATCATGTATCGCCAACCCTGAGAACAGAACCGGCATGCCCGATTTCTATCCTCGGAATAACACGCTAAGCCATGTTGTAAGCCATATCATGCATATTGGGGAGCTGATCGGGTATGACCATGCTGGGCTTGGCAGTGATTTTGACGGGATCCCGAATACGCCTGTGGGGCTAGAAGATGTGTCCAAGTTCCCGGACTTGGTGGCAGAGATGTTGAGACGTGGGGTCAGCGATAAGGATGCGGCGAAGGTGGTAGGTGGGAACATTTTGAGGGTTTGGAAAGATGTTGATGATATTGCTTTGAAGATGCAGAAGGCTGGCGTGAAGCCGGTGGAGGATAAGTTTAAGTTGGGAGGCTTCAGTGGTTTATCTACGTGAACAAATTTCATTCAGCGTACAGCATCTTCCCTTTGTGCATATTTCCTCATCGCAGTATATACGTTCCTCTTATCGATCGCCATGATTATGATTTCGATTTATAAGCTCACCCAACAATATCTGATTTCAACACTTGTCACTTTTAACTTTTCAAATCTTCTCAACTTTACAAATGGCTCTCAATCTTGTTTTTAAATCTTTGTTGGGGACAATCTTAGGTTCTTTATCGCAAGTTTGGTAAATTGCATTCGACAGGGGTCAGCTTGCATTTCTAAGCAGAATCTGCCGCCCCCCCGGCAACATTATAACCTCTCACACCGCTTCAAAATTTCCTCGCAGCTCACTACTCTTCCACCCGTTTCTTTTCAAACCGATCAACGTATCTAAACACTCACGACGAGCAACTGTTGTCTCCTGTAAGAGTAGGTCTTATTGGCCTCTCTGGCGCGCCCCCAGACAAATACAATACGAAGGCACATCCTGGACGCTCTCAGCACCCCTCCCATACCCCAAGTCGTCTGCAGACTTCAAGATAGTCGTGCTCCTAGATTCCTCCGTCGGATATGCCAAAGCTGCGATCGAGCGGTACGGACAGATTGGTTCCACGAAAGCTTACTCCAAGCCTGAACGTCCGATTTTCAATGCCGCTCCTCATCTCCTTTCTTAATCAGAATTTCTAACATTCAAATAGACCTTGCCGCAGATCAAGACGTTGACCTCGTGGTCTGCAGTCTAATGGTGGACAAACACTTCCTCACTGTAAAGCCCAGCATCATCGCCGAAAAAGCCATCTTCGTCGAATGGCTACTCGATCGCAACCTCTATGTTGCGCACAAAATGGCTTCCTTCGCTGCTAAATATAATGTCAAAACCATGGTAGGAATTCAACGCTCATTCTCCCCAATCGTACAGTACGTAAAATGAAGGAAATGGTCGAAGAAAGAACGATTGGGAAGTTTTGAGTTCCACCGTTATGGCGAGTTTAGGAAATGGGGATGTGGGTGAGAGGAAGAATGTCGGGTATTTTCTTGATAGAGGGGTGGGTAGGGATGTGGTTAGTGTGCATTTTGGGCATAGTCTTGAGTTTATCACAAGAGGTATTCCCATTTCTTCCCTTCTTACCAAATTTGGCAACTGGGTTCTGGCCCCTGTTCAGTTCTCGGAGAATTCCAGTCGTGGGACAGCCTCCTGGCTGTCAGAAACGGGGGAAAAGACATCATCAATTCGTCCAAAGATAACAAGGTGATCACAAAAGATGCACCAAGCACCGTACCCGATCAAATTCTGCGTCAAGGCACAGTCAATCCATTGGAAGTTCCGGGATCGATCCACTACCGAGGTGGTCCTCCTTTCCCAGGGATGCCAAATATGTAGTGGCGGATCCAAGGTTTGGAAGGATAAATTCATCACACATCGACAAGCTGGAGTTTGAATGTAGGGAGGGAGGACACAAAGATCGTGTAGTTTGATGAGGAAGGGGACAGTGGAAGAGATAAAAGGAGGCTGGGATCAGCCGGATGAATTACCAGTTCCTGCACAGAATATTGCGAGAGTGTATGAGGCGTACAAGAAAGGTGAGTCCTGATTTTGATTGGGCGGTGGAGAGGTATGAGATGTTGGAGGAGCGTGGAGGAGGCTTAACCTGAGTCGAAAGTGAGCCCAAGCTCGGTCTTGTCCATATTTCACGATATCGTAGTATAACGCTACTAAATAGACGTAAAAATAAGGCACAGGGAGGTATCCAAAGCGCTACGGTGGAGTCTTTGGGATGCCAACCCTTTGATATCGTTGGGGTGGAGACCTGTCCATTCAGGGGTCCGCTTCCCTGACCAATCATTAGCAGTCGTGATGCAAGGTGCTAACTTCCAGTTGTACACCTCAGAGTTAAGCTGCAAATTCCAACCCCATTTGCTCGGTTGTTGTTTCACGCCTACGAAGATTTTCTCGGCGAACTTATAACTTTGTGTTTGAGAGATTTGCATCAGGCAGGTTACAATCCGCGACCAGTGGTTCTAGAATTCCATGTGCCAAGATGGGACGTAGCAAAAGAAATTCTCCACTTTAGAAATTTAGATATTTAAAGGTGCTCACCCATCACGTTTATTATTATTTGTTGTTTTCAAAACGTTCTGCGGTCAACCTCAGCCTGGACAGTCCCACGCCAGCATGTCTACCACGGAAGAATCGAAGGTGGGTTTCGACAATTCAGCTGTGAAGTCCATCTAGCAAGTTTCTTCAGAAGAGACGGAGTCGTCAATCATAAATTCACTACGCGCTGGATTCTGGACGGTGTTAGTCCCAGGTGTTGTGCTTTTCTCAGACTTTTACAATGTTCACGTCGTTAGTTAGATGAACAACGTGCATTCAAAGCCGCACGTACTTCTCTGCTTCCATCTCAGTCCACCTTCCGACACGGCAATGGGTACCCTGCTCACTTGACTATATAGCAAAGACATAATTTAATTCTATACGTATTGGCGAGGTTATCCGAATGGTCTTGTTTGGATTCCTTATTACTCGTTACGGCAGAAGGGTTGGCTTTATTGGGACAATCTTTTTTGGGTTCTGGTTAGTTTCCGCACGAATGGGTATTGAAAAGAACCTAAAGGTATGGGGAATTACCCTCGCCACTGCTTCTTGTCGCAGCACTCCATCGAAAATGCTTTGGATAATGATCATAATAGAGGAGTAGCTGGACTAGGGCCAGGAGGCAAGTATGCTGTCTGCACTGTTCAGGTATGTTTATTTCAAGAGCAACTGTCAAAGAAGTTGGAACTAATGAGACGATAACGGGCGGTCGAGTCAGCAGACGCAAACGTAACTCTTCAATAGAAGCATGAATTCCTGGTTGCAGTTTCAACCAACCTCGCGATTGTCTCTGGTTTCTGGGCATCTTCGATCGTTCCTGTCATCGTCATTGTTGCTTACTACAACAAGCAAATAATGGAATATGGCGCATGTGTTTTGGGGTCGGCTGCATTATGCCTTTAACAATTTTCTTCATCCAATTGCGACTTTCCGACTTCGCTCAGTACCAGAAGGACTCTATCAGAAAGATCATTTCGAAAAGCCGGCAATCAAGAGATTCTGGAAGCCGCTTATTGGTGCCTGCCAGTACGAAGATCACGGCATAAAGTATCGGGAATACAGGGCATTATTTTATAAAGGCCACTAAATGCCCTGTAAGGTCTTACTTTAATCTCCCTGTAGCTAGTCCTAGTCCCCTGTAAGCCCCCATAAGCTTACTAAAAGTGCCCCGAAGGCTCAATTTGGGCTTATGCAGCTTGACAGATACTAAACGCCCCCAAACGCTTATAAATATAGGCGAGTCTACTAATTAGTAGCGAGTAAAGGGGAGGTTATTAGCCCTAATACACACCTCTCCATATATACTTAATTCTGAATTCTAATTCTAATTAATTAGAAAAATACTTTATATCTTTCGCTTTGCTTTAATTATTATTATGGCTACTTTTGGAAGTTTATTTGATTTCCCTAACTTATTAGATAGCTAATCAGAGCTCTTCTCTCCTCCTGATTCATTAGATAACGAATATACCGAAGCCAAAAATAAAGAGGATATATAGTATAATTTACTATTAGATTCGGACGATTCAGATAATAATTTAGCTATACTAGCCCTTCTATCCGCTTTATTAACTAATTTTATACTTATTACTCTTGGGCCCAAAGAGCACTTTACTAGTACTAGAATTAAGGCTATTTATATACTTGAGGACAAGAAGTCTTTTGGACAAATTAGAGAAGCTATAGGAGTACCTAAAATAGCTCTTTATTAACTTATAGCTATAGCTAAAAAGCATAAATAGGTAGAAAATAAGAATATGCCTTTAGAGATCTCTTATATACTTAATATATCAAGATCTGGTTAATCCGTAATCTTCTCTAAGGTAATTAAGTATATTTTAATAATTATTCTTTAAAATGCTATTATAAGAGGCTTTTCTTATATTATAATTATAAAAAAAGTATAAAAAAGAAGCTATAAGGTTATATCCAGAACTATATAGAAGGTTCTTACTTATATAAGCTATTCTTAGTATAAACTAATAGTTAAGCCTGGCTTAAATAACCTTAGTAAAGTAAAGAGATTAGCCTAGTACTTAGAGCGAGAATATTAGATACTTAATAATTAGAAAGATATAATTTTTACGAATTACTTCTTTATATTGAGCTACGTTTGGACCACCCTTAAGCGGTTGGCTCTCGGGGCTCCTAGAAAAAAACGGGTCACGTGAGGAACACCAGAATCTCCCTGTTCTAGGGAATCGCATATCGGAACGCGATTACATCCAAATCCTTAGGGCTTAGCTAGGGATTAGAGAGAAGAAGCTCAGGTACCTTTCTTTCTATTTTAGTGGTTCTGGAATACGAGGGGCTTTTATTGCGATTTTTTAAAGCTTGGGGGGATATCTTAAGCTAGGGGCCCCGTAAAAAGCGCAAAAAAAAATTCCTGACCTTATATTACTTTTCTCTCCTTCTTCTCTTTATTACTATGGACCCTCCCCGCTTTTATACTTCCTATAAGCAGAACCGGCCTGCTTCTGACTTTATTACGGAGCGGGCTAAGCCATATAAGACTTGCTATTACTATCGAGTTTATATCCTCCCCCTTTTCTGGCTTAATTAACCAGTTAATAGGCCCGAAATACTACTAATTATATCTAGTGGTACTCTGCCTTATAAGAACTCGATCCGAATACCCTTCCTACCTCCCGGTAACGACGACGGTCGGTTACGGACATCTCTGTAAACGAGCCAGCCCTACGGCGCTAGTAACAGATCCGTCAACCGTCCGTTACGGCCCCCGTTCATATTATAGAGGACCCTCCTGCCGACCTACCTACTATATGGCCTCCTGCCTTCCTCTCCCGCTTCCGGCCAGCTCCCGTATATATAACTAGTCCGCTTACGGGTCGCTATATAGCTTACGGAGCCCTCTATTTTAGCTATACAGACAATTACTTTAAGGCCTATTA